ATACTTTTATAAGTAAAAAAGTTTGCAATTCGGTTTATAAATGGTCGAGATGCGAAAAGGGCACTGTGAATTTGGAATCGATTCGATTCAACTTTTGGCATTGCGTATTATATGGTTATTATATGCCCATATTGAATTTCATGCAATTCAGTTCATAACTAACGGAGATGTAAAAGCGATCGAACATTTCTAAACAAAGTTATCGTTCACACGGACAGATAGATGGACATACAGACAAAGGAACAGACGGACAGACCAGCATGCAGACGACAGATAGCAATGCAAAATTATAAACGATCTCTAGGATCGTTAATAAACGGCAAAAGTGTAAAATTATGGAACATGTAAAAAACGGTTTTTGTTTTTTTTACAATAACTTTTTTTGTAAGCGGTACAGAAAAAATTCCTTCCTTGGTACAAGACTCGACACCATAACGAACCAAATAGCGAAAAAAGTACAACAATAGCTCTTAAGATAAAGAACTAGTAGCGTCGCAAAACGAGCGGACGGACGGACGGACAAAGTGGCCACAATAGCGCATTTTTTTTTTTTTTGTGGAAATGCGCTAAAAATCATATACATGATTGGCAAAGAGCATTTTCCGTTTATCTTTTGGACACCTATCAAAGATAAAATAGGGAAATTTTGCAGGACCTACACTCTGCCGTATAAATAAGCTTGGTTGACCGACGGACGGACGGACAACGTGTCTAAAATAGCTGCTCTTTCTGTTTCCGAAAATGCTTTAAAAAGAAAAGGAAACAACGAGTAGGGAAGAGAACAATCTGAAAATTTCTTACCTTGCTTGATTTGTTGCGTTGTCTTGCCAATAAGACTCTTGCATTTTCCAAAACGAACGTCCATCCGTCTGTACCACTAGCACTGCTATTTTCGTTGTGGTTTCTTTCTTATACGATGTAACACAGCCCCGAGAGCAGAAGTACAGAATATTTTTTGGAGTAGTTACTTCCTTTCCAAGTTATTACTGATTCTGAGGAAAATGCGTTTTTGTCAGTCGCAAGTGACCACGTTTTTAACGTGTATATTTCTGTTCCTATTTTGATTGGTGGCGATGATCCTATTTTTGATGGTTCAAATGGCCGATTTTTTTTACTTAACGAGACACTACCAAAAAAAATCATCGCGAAACTAATTGGTTGCGGAAATACAAATTTTACCGCTCTTTCTGATCATAGTCAAATATTCTCCGATTTTTGTATGTCCGTAGTAAAGTTACCAAGCGCTTCTACACCACTGCGCCACCCAGGCCGGTTATGGATTAAAATTCAACAGGTTATGGGTTCCAGTTTGTTCAACTGTGCTGTATACGCTGTTATATTTAACAATCTGACGTGTAGGCCGTATCTAGGCGGTGGCGAGATGGGCGTCAAGGGACCGGGGGCGCAAAATTGGACAAAAAAAATTTTGTGAGACTAGTGTATTAGGGCATACATTTCCCGTTATTTAAATAAATTTTATTCCAGATTGTTAAAAGCCACTGTACGTACTCTGACTGTGAACAATCTAGTTACCAAGTGATATTACCTTCATCTCCCCCCCCCCCCTTCCTCCCACCTCTTGCCTCCTTATAGTGTAATATATACAGTGTGTCCAAGATAATATTGATATCGAATAAAGCATTTTCTGTTTTAGGTTAGGGCCTAAAATCATAAATTAGGCCCCCTGAAATTAATTTTTTTTTAGTAAAAAGTGTAAAAACGAAGTGAAAACGAATAAAATATATAGCCCTCCATTATTTTAATTTTGGAGGGCTAAAATCATAAAGGTATCCTCCCAATTTTTATTTTTTCAGAATCTTTTTTTAGGGAAATGCGCAAACAAAAAAACGAGGTGTCCCTACATGTGCAAACAAATTGCAAACGAATGAAATATAGATATAGCGTTAAATTAATTTAATGTGGGGGGCTAAAATCGTGAAGTTGCCCCCCCCCCCCCCCCAACTTTGTTTTTTTTAATATTATAATTATAGTAATAATTTATTATAATAAATAATATTCATCCCCCCTCCCCCTCCTACCTCTTGCCTCCTTATAGTGTAATATATACAGTGTGTCCAAGATAGAAGAAACAGTAAGCAAGTAAACTGATATTTTAAAAATTTCTAATTTCGGAAGTTCCGAAGGTATTCGAAAAAAAACCTAAATTAACTATATTCGTTTTTATTACCGATCCTGATCGTTTATAATTTTGTATTGCTGTCTGGCTGTCCGTCGGTCTGTCCGTGGGCACCATAACTTTGTGTGGAAATGTCCGATCGCGATCGATTGATACACATATTCTTCAAGATTTAAGAAAGGTCGCTATTGTTTTTCGGCTACATAGACTAACCTGTTGACGAAGCCCATGCCCCGATCTAGTGAGACTTTGGGACTTTCTTAACCAGACTCGACTCCAAATAAGGGAAGGTGTTGAAGGAACTGGGCGGTATTTGTGTCTGACTTTAATTTTTTAAAAGAAAAGAGCAATGTATGTTAAATTCCGTTTTCTGACTAAACCTTGATAATTCATAAATAACAGTTCTACGTTTATTAAAAGCGTGTTTATTGTATCTGCACTCTTTTCTCAGTTGTTGTGGATTAAAGTTCAACAAATCAGGACTTTAAGTCCAATTATTTACACAGACCATCATAACAACCATCTACAGGTTTCTAGATCATTTTCAGAGTTTTCTAGCCCTTTTGCATAATCGTTTAGACTTTTTTGAAGCTGTTTATTGCGCACTTTGGGGGAAAGACTGCTGTTCTAAACTCTATTCAATGCTTAAATAACTTTTACAGGCTTGTTGTCCTTTTTTAGAGCTTTCTTGGTACTTCTAAGGCCTTTTAAATGGCCTGAAAGTCTTAGGAGCGGGTCCATGAATTTAAAAATGGCATCTTTGGTAGTGCTAAGAATACCAAGATGGCTTCTATTAGTTGCGCTCTGGTTTCGCCAATTGTGCTGTCTAGAAGGTTCTTGTATTACCATTGTGGGCCACATGAGGTAGTTTCAATTGTTTTCTGCACGAATCACACAAAAAATTGTCATGAGAGGTCTTGGGGATACAATTTTTGAAAATTAAAGAATTATGGATCATGCCAACAAAACTTTACATGGGATTGCGTAAGGGAGGGCGTTATCCCTAGGAAAAAAATGAAAGTCCTAAAGAAACGAACGCGGGAGTATCATTTAACTTTTTTGGACCAATGAAAATGATTTTACGAAAATTCGTAACCAAATATGGAATATGTTCGACAATATACAGGGTCCTGCAACAACGCAGACAGTTTTTCCTAGCTCACACCTGGTAAAAAAATATCAAAAAAACCTTTTGTTCAAATGTCATCTACAGAAATTATTTTTGAATGTACAGGGTGTCCCATTCTTACGGCGTCAATAGACCACTGTTTTTTTAAATGTAACAGCATGTGTATTTTTAATTATTTCGATATCATTTTTTAGCATGGAAACCTTTTTGGTTTTTTGTCAAATCAAATTATTAATTTTTTACCGAATAATAATTGCCCATAAGCAAGCCCCACTTTTATAAATCGTAGCGATCTTGATTCTTTGGATTCTTTATTATCACGGCCTACTCCTTTTTATAAACATGTAATTTTTGTGAAAATTATTGAATAACCTAAAAAATACGGGGTTTTTGCACAGGACACCCCTTATAAAAATTGAAGAGCACACAAAGGACCATCTAATAGAGAAATAAAATAGTGGTAGCTCCATTTGAAAAAAATAGTTATGGCATTTTGACATATGGAAATTTTACTATTTTTTTGTGAACATCCTGTATCACTAAATTCAACTTTCTAATTACCCAAGTATTTCTTTTTATTCAGATTAACATTGATGAAATGTCTTTCTTAACTTTATAATAAAGGTCGCTACGATTTATTGAAGTGGGTGTGAGAGAATTATTCGGAAAAAAATTAATATTTGGCAACATTGACAAAAAACCAAAAAGTGAATAGGTTTCCATGCAGAGGTAAAAAAAATGACATCGAATCGGCTAAAAAATACAGGGTGTTCTACTTAAACAAACTCGCTGTCTATTAACACCGTAAAAGTGGGATTTAAAAATAATTTCTGCAGATCCGCACCCATCATTTATAGTTGACATTTGCACATAACGTTTTTGATATTTTTTACTAGGAAAGACCGACTCGATCCTGTATACTTTTAGATTAATGACATTATGCTCTTTAGGTTCGGATTACGGTATTTAAAATAAAAATACAACAATAATTAGTGGATTTGTATTCAAAATAAATAAAATTTAATAATGCAATTAGGTAAGTTTCACGTCGCGTGTATTTTATTCTCCTTTAAAACATTTACATAAACATTGTAAAGATACAAATGATTATTTCTCACGAATATACTGAAAAAATGCGACAATTTGGGTTTCTGTCGCTAATTTACACTAACTTACCCTTATCAGATTATAATAAAAGTGTTTTTATGTCTATCCCCTCCCCGACGTTCAGATTTGCATAAAATTAAAACACTTTCTTGCACTTGCATGCGCGCAAACCTGTTTACCCTTTTCAAACATTTGCTTAGTATGCCGGCCAGTCCAGATTTGAATGACCAATTTATTGATTAAAATAAACGGAACGAAAATTGCGCCTGATGGCCCGCCATAGGTCCAATTATTCACCGCCACACTGTAAGGGTAAGTCTGGCGGATTGTTGAAAAAAAATTAAAGCGAGTTACATGAGGTAACATTGTAAGAGGGATTTAATTGAATATGTTGAGGGGGAATACGAAAAGGTGACGGGATACTTCTTATATTACTTACGTCTAAGGGCCATATTCAGTTAAACCCACCACTTAATTTGATTAATTCAATGTAATCGACTTAATGGAACGGAATGCTACGAAATCTGTTCTTTTTTAATTATTGCTCGTGTAGCGAATGTGACTTGAATATTAATAATCATTTGCACTCTCGAAAACCTCGAGTAATTCTTGTTCTTTTTGTTGCAGAGATTTGCAAGGGAATAATATTACGATTATCTTCGAGACGGATTTCGAGCGGCTGGGAAAGCTAAGGGTTCTGTAAGTATATAATACGAAACGACTGAAATACGTTAATCCCTTTGCTATTACAGACAGCTCACTGATAATCGAATACACACGATAGAAAAAGATGCGTTTCAAGATTTGGTCAACATGGAACGAATGTAAGTAGGATTTTTTTTTAAGTTCATTTTGCTAAATCTCTAATTTTAGCCGGCTCAATGGCAATAACATCCGACACATTCCAGACAACTTATTTGCCACCATGAGCAATTTATTTCGATTGTAAGTACATTTTTTTCCATTCCTTGGTCTCTTACAGTGCGGTTATGAAAATTATTATTTAGAACCCTTTTTCCTCGCAGTAAGAATGGAAAAAGGCAGGGAAAAAAGTTACTTTTTAGTGTTGGAATTTTTTGTCAAAATATCGTATGGAAAGTGTTCCTTTTTTCACGATTTTTATTATGCGTTCCCATGGCGTTTAGTCCTACCTATGATCAATAATATCAATCTTTTAGTAACAATAAATCGCGAATGTCAATAATATTTTTCAATTATGGGTTCTTAAGGATCACTATGCAAAACATGCTCGTAATACCATCAAAGGAGATGTACGAGAATTTTTGGATTGGAATTAACAAAACAATTTAGGCACTATTAAGGCAGTACCGTATCGACAGTATCCGCGACTTTTCCTTAACCTACCGATCATGATCGAGTACGGCACAATTGTCACTTGATGTGACACCGTTGTCTTTTCTGCTTGAAAAGAAACTTACAACATTGTGTCGAAATTGTCTTTTTTTCATGAATTTGCTGCAAACACTTGAGGTGCTTTAAAGGTTACAACTGCCTATTTGAGATATTTTTATGTGGAATCTAGTGCCGTAGTCAAAAAATTTCTGCACCACCGTTTCTGGAATTTGACCCAATGTTGGTAATAATACCCTGTATATCTTAATGTCAATTTTTTTGCATTCTTTTTCCTTATTACATTGATGTATCACAATCTAGATTTTTTAAATTTTAGTCATAAATCAAAAATGAAAACCTTATCTTTTATGGTTTTTAAATGGTAGGCCATGGATTCATGGAGATTTTGTTTTGTTTATTGTAACCATGGTAAATAAGCCCATACCAGTCAGTAAAAATGGGTCATTTCAAAAATTGATGATAATTTAAAAAATGTAGGTTGTCATGCAATAATGTAATCAGGAAAAAATGTAAGAAATTGAAGTTAAGATATACAGAGTGTTGCATTTAAAAATACTTACCTTGGGTCAAATGTCAGAAACGGTGATCCAAAAATTGTTTTTGACTACGCCACAGGATTCTACATAAAAATATATCTGAAACAAACGTAGCTAGATTGATTCTGTTTGTGGTATTAAAACTTTCACAAAAAAGTCGTGAAAACGAAGTATTTACCTTTAAAAATATATGTGTACTCGCCTTTCTGCAAAAGACTAAGTGCCTGGTACTTTACCATTGTAAATTACTTTAAGAGTAATTGGTAATTTCAAGCACTTTTTGCAAGTGCTTGGGACTAGGTGCTTTCAAGGGATCAAGGGTGCTTACTCACCATTAAAAAAGTTTTGTTTGTTTAGTTAAAAAAAACTGATTTAAAGAAAAAAAAGAATTCAATACAAAAACAAGACGTATCTTCGAAACTGATTAGTGATAACTGATAATAGTGTTAAAACTTGCATCAGACCCTACACTACATTTTGCATCGGTACTTCCGCTGCAAATAATTTATTGACAATTTCTTTTGTTTTATATTAAACAGGAAATTGCAACTAGAAAACTGTATCATTAAAAAAATTACTAATATTTCTTTTACCTGAAAATTTTCTAAAAATGGGTTTTACGGTCCAGCAAAATAGTAACACCTAAAGGTCATATAAATGTATATGGACAAAAATCAGAGAATGTTGAGTGCCGTTTTAAGAATGCGGGTTATTTGATTTAAGTCCGTTCACACTTTAACTAAAACTCAATTTATGGTTACTATGACAAATTACATAATAAATAACCCTTGAGCTTGGTTTCATTTACAGTGAAATCTATGGAATATCTTTGGTTTCGAAAAAATTAAATTTAATTAGATCAGACACCAAATACAGGGAGTTCTTTTGATTAAGCTTAAGAAATAAAAAATTTTACACTTATACTCTCGTTTAAAATTCTTCTAGTAAGATTCCAACGGATCAATATTTATCTTTGACAATGATCGAGTAAATACATAAACACGACTAACCTTTATTTACAATTTTTGCTTCGAGGTGGAAGATCAGGAATTCTTACGGTTAATCAATTAGGGTTGATATCAGATGATTTTTAAAGGGCTGCATACTTAAACCCGCCGGCTTGTAACAACCTCTCGGCGATCACTCTTTGGCTTGGACTTTGAACATTGATTGACTTCCTCTCGATGTTGATGTATTTGCTGGTTAATGCGATTCGGTCCAAAAAGTGTGTTTTGTACTCAGAACTTGATATTGATTATGGTTTTATTGAACTTTGAGGAAATCTCTTAGGTACGCTTTTCTCCAAACAGCCGTATGCGTTCTTATGAACTTTATTACTATTTGATTTTGACGAACAAGTTTCTTTGTTGTAATTTCGTGCGGCACCTGAACTAACTTCACCTCCCTTTTTACTTGATATCACTGCACAAATGCGTGGTAATGTTTCCCAAGGACTTTGCTTACGAACGCGTTTATTTATGATAGCGGACTGTGTACTTTGCTGAATGGATTTGCAACTTTTCTGCACTTCCACAATCCGCAAATATCCATCGGCATGACAAACTGTGATTCTTTGTGAACTAGGACTCTTTTGCTAACCTATACACTCGATTTACGCTATGTACTTCGCGGCACGACAATTTGCTTTTTCACTCCAATGGTGACACTTGGGCAATTAAAACTGGTTTATTAAAAAAATTTCAACTGGACCAGAACATCGCCCTGAATTCACTAAAGTAGTTTTATAAGCTCGGTTAACCTTACTTTGACCAAATCTATATGGACCTTCTCAGTTTGGTTACCCAAACTCAACCTCTATCTAGCGCCACTATCGACGCACAAATCGTTAATTTCGTGTAAAATAATCCCCTATTTGAACGCCTTTACTTAGTGGTGGATAATGGCGACGATATTTTAGTAATTTTCATTGGTTCACTGGATTTCAGGGCTATATACTAAGCTTCAAAATTCTATAACGTCAACTTATTTTTGCTAAGCTGCGCTTTATTCTCAACGTTGCAGAAGTAACCTAACACGACCTATTTTCAGGGTGTAATTCAAAACCCTAGACAATGGAGCGACAGACACAATTTAGAACATGGACGAAGATGACGAAACCCCGCCGTATTACAATCGACAAAATAAAAACTTGAACTTGAAATTTTCTGCACGCTATAGCTCTAAAATTAACCTGAGAAGTCCCCATGAAACGGTCAGGATAGCAAAGTATCTATATTTTGCAGAGCTTTTCAAATACACACTTATTAGTTATTACGTTCCCACAGCGTTTCAAATCATTTTTAAGCATTACGTCTCCTTTCCGAACTTTTAAGGCCCTTTACAAAAATTTCTCTTCTAAACCTTTCTAAAAAATTAACGGAATTATAGATCCTTTCTGGATGTCTCTCTCTGGTCGTTTACCACTGAAAAGGAGCTAGCATACTCTTTAGTGCCTACAAGACATGTTTAAAAAAAACTCTAGAACATGTCTAAGAAATCCAAAGATCTGTAAAGGGCTACTCGAAATTTGATTTCATTTAGGCGCATTTATTTGGATTTTTGGGATTTTTGTATTTCTGAATGAATTTTTTTTTAATTCTGCGTACTTTCCGAATTTATCTGAATATTTCTAATTTTGAATTTTTGTGTACATCCAATTTTCTAGATGTGTCCCCCTTGAATGCTCTATCTTTCATTCCAATTTTTCCATACTTTTTGTTAAGCATCATGTATACAGGCTGATTCAAATTCGAGGGCCACCATGGGGATCTCAGAAACTGTAAATTTAAATTTGGCAAAGTTGCGTATTTTGATGCTTAACAAAATGCCGTTTTCAAGCTGAACAAATTCCGACTTTTGCAAATTGGTTTTTATTTTTTACCGAATTTATTCAAAAAGATATTTAAAAATAAATGGCGCGTTATTTTGGCCACTTTTTTCCCTCTACAAGAAGCTAGTTTTAAATGATAAGTCTTACGTTTCGTCTCTGGTTAACCATCATCAACTTTGTTTATTCATATGGAAGTCATTTTTACTTTTTGCGGCATTTTCTTCTGATTTTAAAAATGTAAAGCTCGCTATTTTTTAAATATTGTTAAAAAGTAAAAATATCTTCTTTGTTGCCTGGCAAACTTTGTCTTGGGTAGTGTATGTACGTAGTTTCTTGCATTTTTACGAATTAATAGCGTCATTTGTATAGTGTTCAATGCCAAAGTTTCCACTTTTTTGATTTTGAAGTGTTCCTCGACGAAAATCCATACACCTATTTCATTTTTATACTATCATATATCAGTCGAATGTGATAAATCCATATCAAGGTGGATGTTTTACGTGGTACCGCCTTTTATCTCGTGCTTATCAATTATCTCGAGTGAAGAAAGTATTTATATTTTAGGACTATCTCATATTGATTCAGTATTGAAAAATCTGCAGTAGTAAAAAAATGATTTTAACCGCGATACTAACCCTCTTTCTAATAAAAGATGGAATTGCCTATAAAGATTGTGATGGACATGACAGATTTCCTGGTAAGTTAATTCTAGTGAAAAACGAATAATAACACAGTATTGGATGTAGATTATTACTGGAGAGAATACAAAGGCATGCTCCCAGTAGATGCTCTACCTGGAGGTTACGATACTAAAGGCCAAACTACATATATAGGCCAAATGCATGACCCCAAATATGGATTACTTCCTGCCGTTGTCTATGCGGATACCAAGACCCTGTCAACTATGGCAGATGGTCAAACCCGCAGCCTAAATAAGAATGCAAAGGTGCGTGAGGCATTTTAATACCACCTTAATAATTTCGGTAATATTCACCTTAGATTCTTTGCACTGGTGTTCCATCCATGTTTAAATGGATACCTACAGACGTTTCTGCAATTCACCAATTAGCTGGCTATCATCTTGTCGTTGCGGGTACCGAATTAGACCAAATGTTATACGTAGGAAGAACAAAATTGGACGATGGAGAACTGCGAGTTGGTAAAGTTTTTGAATATCACGACGCCTGGAAAGGCCTAAATTTGGTAGTCGATGGAAAGGGGACTATAAAAACTAAATTTGAAATATTAGTGTATGATTTTCAAGACTGTGCTAATTTATAAGCTATAATGAAAAAAATAGAAAGAATTTTACTATGGCACGTTGCTGATTGTTTCTTTTGTTTATTTGCACATCGCATCAGTGAAGTGTTTACAAAAACGGATGTCCTAATCTAATCGAAATTCTTGCACACAATCGGCTTTAAATGGAATCTGCCGAGAACAAAAATATCTGTCGTATGAGTACCTATTTACTTTCAAGCATGGTACCATTGTTATATGGAAAAATTCGTTTTTTTTTTAATAACGTGCATTACCACACATTTCAGCTTACTCGACTTTCATTTCTTTCCGATGTTATGAACACGGTGTAGGTAGTCTATTTACACCTTTCCCCTTTCACTAAACCACTTTTCCAAAAATTAAAGAAAAATCGTCAGACCATTTTCTATTGCAAGGGAAACCAAGGTAAGTTACGGGGTGTTGATTTGGTGGCCCTGTTCCTCATTGTTCATCTCTGATCGGTTCCGACCATAAGTTGTTTAGTTGTATCAACCTACCCATCAAAATTGTTGCTACAGTGCATAAATGATGAAAATTAACAAAGAGTTATATCTCACAATCAAAGTCACCAACACTTATAATACCGAACTACAAATAGACAGTTAATCAAGTCACTATGAAGTCATCACTCGGTTTTCTTAACTTTGATTTTTGGGACTGGAAGTACCTGTTTAGGGTCATAATATTCAAAGGTACATTTACCACTTAAGCCGAATTCAAAGCCGAATTCACTGACACATCATCTTTAAAATCGGTTTAGTAGTTATAGAATTCGCTATTTCTTGTTGAGAATTTACGAAGTTTTTCAAGGCCTCTTAATTGCTTTTGAAGCTACGATTGTTTATAGGTAGTTTAAATATAAACAAGGTAGAACACTTGTTATTTGAATACAATACCGTTATTCATTCACCAACATCGCCAAGAAAACTGAAAGGTGCGCTACTCTGCTCTTCAAAGGACGTAAGTAATCAAATATTCAAATTTGTTCAAAAAAATAAGAGATAATTTGCTTCTTGATTTATTTACAATTACATTAATTAAATTTTAATATTGCTGTCAAATTCATCATGCTCCTAATTATTATCGCTACATTATAGCTTATAAATTAACAAGCTTGATAATCATACACTAATAATTCAAAATCTGGTAGTGCCTTTGATAATTGCTTATTGATATTTACATGTATACCTTTAGCGCCCTCACTATATTCTAAAACTTTAGCAACTAGCAGTTCTCCATTGTCCATTTTTCTTCTTCCTATATACATCATTTGGTTTGGGTGAAAACCTCCAACGACAAAATGATAGCCCGTTAAAAGGTGAATTGTCGAAAGATTTGTAGGTATCCATTTAAACATGTGTTGAGCACGAGAGCACAAAATCTAAGGTAATTATTACAGACATTATTAAGGTGATATAGAAATACATCACTTACTTTTGTATCCTTCCCAGGTTTGCGGGTTAGCTGACTTGCCGAAACCGATAGGGTCTTGGTATCCGGATAAATAACGGCAGGGTGTATTCCTTGATTGGGTATATGAAAGTGGCCTATATATGTAGTTTTGCCTTTGGTATCGCGACCTCCAGGTATAGCATCTGCTGGGATCTCGCCTTTGTATTCTCTCCAGTAATAATCTACATCCAATACTGTGTTATTATTCGTTTTTCACTAGAATTAACTTACCGGGAAATCTGTCATGTCCATCACAATCTTTATAGGCAATTCCATCTTTAATTAGAAAGATGGTTAGTATAGCGGTTAAAATCATTTTTTTACTACTGCAGATTTTTCAATACTGAATCAATATGAGATAATCCTAAAATATAAATACTTCCATCACTCGAGATAATTGATTAGCAACGAGATAAAAGGCGGCACCACGTAAACATCCACTACATAATATGTATTTATCAACCTCACATTCGGTTGATGCATGATGTAAAAAATTAACCATATGGATTTCATGGGATATGACACCAACAATAAGAATAATGTAGGAATCATCGTCAAACACATGCCATTTCTAAAGTTTTTAATTGTGAACAGTGCAATTACACATAAACAGTTAAAGGCCGCCTGGCATACATTCAAAATCCTCCGACACTCCTTTATGGAGATATTTGCACTGAAAGCTTTGACATTACCAATAGAGATGCCTCGTCCTGCCGTTCCACTAGCCTTTTATGAGTACCCTCTTCCGATACTTCGTTGTCAAGGTATTTGCTTCGACTTCACCAATAGATATGTCTCGGCCAGTCGATTCATTTTGCCTGTGAGAGTACTTTCCTCCGCCAAACCGTTTTCGAGATAGACGCTCTTAAAGTTTTGACGTTACCAATGGATATACCTATTTCTTCCAGATATATTCGATCACGATAAGGGATTGAGGAGAAGGACTATGGTTGGAAGAAATTAATTCCTTTCGTTGAGACCTTTCATTACAGTACCATGAAGGATAGAACCAGTTCCGCTCCCTCCCCACCCTCTCTTTTGATAAGGAGTCAGAAAGAAGCGCGGGAAAGTTATAGTTTGTACAAACCAATTTATTTCGATGAGACCTTTCATTAGAATACCATGACTTGGCACCACTAAACGCATGCGTATGCAAAATCTGAGACCAATTGGTTGTGTGTAAAAGTTATACACGTTTCACTTTCAAAAACAGCATCTTAGGAAAGGGGGGGGGGGGGAGCTTAAAACAGCGAAATGTACCTTCAAGGTATATGGTACCTATTGCAAATCCAGGGCTCTAGAACCATTCCCCTAGAAGTAGTTCAAAACGGCAGAAGCGGGCCCGGACGGACGGACAAAACGCATACGATAGCACATTTTTTTAATGGAAGGAAAAGGGAGATATAATGGAAATGGAGGGGTGAAAAAAGAGATAAAAGAAATTAAATATTTAGTCTACCAAATGCAAAGAAATAATTGTGGGAAAATGCGCAGGTAACAGAATGAAGGAAAAATGGGATGGCGGCGACGAGACAGGTGTGGGGAATTGGAGAGAGGGGGTTCAAGAATGATTGTAGACCAAGAAAGTATCTAATCGATGCAATTGTGAGAGGAGTGCTTATGTAAGGGATGGGAAGAACTGTAAGAAGTGCACAGAAGATATTAGAAATGGGTATTAGGGTTAAAACACTAAATTGTACATTAGAGGAAGAAACAAAAATGGAAAAGATAAGGATAGCGTCGGGACGCAGAACGGTAAGATTAGGCCGATAGAGAAAGCTTGGCAACGAGGGGCGAATATGGGACGGACAAAGAGAAAAATATTACGAAAGAAATGGATACGGACGTGCCGAGGTCGAAAGGAGGAGAGGAGTAAGAGAAAAGATGGAAAATGACCTGGCAAAAAAGGGATCTCGATGTACAAACAGCACAAGATGAAGATAGAGAGCGGACGTGCTAGTAGTAGTTAAAACAGCTAATAATGGAATATATTTGAAAATATTTGTGGGAAGGAGGGAAAAAATATTCTATCCAGATTTAGATGTGGAAATGAAGAGAGAGGGAAAGAAAAATGCAAGCAGGAACAAAGAAAATTTAGAATATACTGAAAGGAAGAAGAGGACAGGACGTAGAACACATGTACGGAAATAACAGGGAGAAGTAGGAATGAGGTACTGGATGAGGGGCAAGGAGGTGAGAAGTGGTTGAGGGGGATACTATAGAAAAGAGAAGAAAAAAATCGCATTTTAGTTATAATTTATATTGTAGAGGCGGTAAAACTGTGCATTTTTGTCTACTGACTCGAAAAAAAAAACAAAACAACATCACATTTTTGAGATAATAACAAAAATATGACTTTTTTATACGGAACACCCTGTATATTATTACAACGAATGACAACTTAGTAATGTCTCTACAAAAGTTCTTAATGCGGTGAAGTATTATGAACAAATCATTTTCATGGATAACTAGATCGGAATGAAATTGAAAAATCTTGGTTATTTGAAGTATTTTCGGTATGGTTCTGGTGCATCAAAAAGTGTTGTAGAGAAATTAATAAGCTGTGATATGGTATAATAATATACAGGGTGTTCCATGTAATAAAGCCACATTTTTGTTATTGTCTGAAAAATGCGATGTTGTTTTTTTACTGATTTGGATTCGATAGACAAAAATACACATTTTTAGTAATTTACGTCTTTCTAACTCTACAACTAAAAAAGTTAGCAATAGTGCCGACTTAATTTGAAACAGACTGTATGTACCTATTAGTAGACTGCCCTGCCAAGGCTAAGCGCGGATACTGCAGGTGAGAGAGAAGGGACAACTAAGAGGTAAGCTCTCTTTATCATACCAATACTTATATACCTATATCAACATAAAAAATACCTAAAAATCACTCCACGGGTGTAGATCTGATGAAAATTTCTCAAAAATCATGAGAGTAATAATCGAGTCTTCACAAAAGAACCTTTTTTAAATAAATAAGTTGATTAATTTCAATTTTATTACCCAAACCTCTTTTCTTATAGTGCCGTAGAAATGGGAAACATGCAATTACAGTGAAAAGATCTACGCCCATGGTTTGTATTGACCTATAATTTTAGATGTTTTTTGTCGCATAAAGCTAGGTCATCATTACAAAGTTTGCCAAAGTCGTATAGACTGTTTTAAATTGAATACAAAAAAACTTCCAGGGTCGTATATCGCCCAAACTTTGCAACTTTGTACAATAATTAGGCTGTTGTAAATGCGGTTCTGGGACACCCTGTATATACACCATTTTCTGAATATCTCGCACAACTCACATAACTCATATACATGAAAACAATAAAGTACGAGAGCGTATGTGACGTAATCTTTCCGAGAAATATGACGTGTTTTATTCTCGAATATTCGCGACCGCTCGGGAACCTTCGACTTTACTATATAAGCAAATCGGATTGCGTTACAGTTTAGTTGCAATTTGAACGCCGAAGTAATAAATGGTTCGCGCCGTTATTCGTGAGTAATACTTAATACTTTTACTGTTATTTTGTTAGACAGTTAACATTTTTCCTCATATCAATAAAAATAAATTAAAAATTTCATCAAACACCCTGTACATGCTAAATTTAATTTATGTTCACGCTGCCCAATAATATGACCCAAACATCAACGATACCCTGAAATTTCTTTCGAATTTTATCAAAAAGAATAGGGTTACAGAGATTAACAATACACAATTACTCTGAACCTTGAAATCTATAGCTTCAAAATTACGTCATTCGATGTGGTGGACCAACATTTGCTCGAAAAATTTCGGAAAAATCGCGAAAACTCGAACACTTGTTTTACGATTTTCACCAGATCTTCGCGAAGGCCAACTAGTCACAAAATTTGAACTTGATAGCGTGAAAATTGCGACCTGTATCGCAGTGATAAGAAAGCGTTACGCACACATACATACAGACATTTTTTTTAAATTACATTTTCACGATCCCGGGACCTCATTCGAAACTTCTATGGTGAAATTTTTTTGACAAACAAAGCGACATGTCATTTCAATTCGATTTTATTAGAAGCATCTTGGGATACAGAATTTATAAGCACGAAAATCCGACACAATCGAATACCGAACGATCCTCGAGAGCTTGACATTTTACAACGCATCTAAGGGGTTGATTCTATCCCACCAGATCAGCACAGCTTGTAAAACAATTTTTTTAATTGGGAATTAGTTAGGACCTTTATTCGAGGTGCCTACATACAAAATATCATGCAATTCGGTTCATCACTAACGGAGATGTCAAAAGGACCTTCCTTATTTTCTGGTCTACATTGTCAATCCACGAACTCCGATCTACCAAATTTTATAAAGAATCCATCTGCCAAATTTCATCGTAATAGGTACATCCATTCTCTTTTCAATCGATGGACATGAAGCCATCGAGCGAGCGAGCAAGTCATCGGACGATTGGAGGAAAGCATAATCGTACACTCCTGGTGTGGTGCTAGATCTATTACTTTGGTGCTAGGTATAGTGCTAAAACCTTGGGGGTTTGGCAACCCATAATGGAGAGAGGAATTTAAGAGGTTAATCAATTAGGAATACAAGATGGCAAAGTTTATTGAAAAATTACTTAAGTATCACACCTAATTCATTATGACTTAGTCTTGGATGGAATAACACACTCAGGGTTATTATAGTCGTAAACTAAAATTTCAAAACTATTAAACGCCCGTTTTCCGTTTTGAAACAGAGTTTCAAAACGCGGGGTTTTATCTTTAATGAATGTACCAACACGAAGTTCCATATCAAAATTCACTCTTCCGAAATACAAGGCATCATTTACAGTAAGGTGGTAGCCGGCACTAACTAATGTATATTTGGATTCTAACTTGCCAACGTCTGTTGGATTTGTAAGAATCCACTTATATCTGCAAGGATTAGGAGTGCACAAAATCTAGAATGTAATACCAATTAGTAGAAGATTTATGAAGTTACACTTACTTTTGAATATAATTCCCCTTTTATTTTTTTATCACCGACAGTTGCTAAAACAAATTTATTTCCCTTAGTGGTATAGGCAGGAACCACTGCATTTGGTGAGTTATACGTCTGGGCAAGATATGTAGGATTTCCCGATTTGTCGTAACCTCCAAGAAGTGCATCTTCTGGGATCCTGCCCAAGTAGTCCCGCCAGTAATAATCTGTACAATGTGCGGAATTAAACCTGTTTCATTTTTTAAACGAAATGTCTGCTTACCGGGTTCTTGGCTGAAAGGTTCACATTTTACGTATATAACTGCTATGAGAAAGAGAGTGAAAATAGTTAAAAATTTCATCCCGTTTATGGAAAAATATTGGTGATATTTCACTTATTTTGC